GGGCCGGTTGCGTGGGCCTCCTTGGAAATCCTGGGGGCCCCTTGGGCCAGGGACACCTCTGGCAACACCCACACCTGAGCGAAGGAAGCCTAGGAGCCTGGCTGGAGGATCCCAAGGGAGCCAGGCTCTGGATCGGCTTTCGACCGAAGTCTGGCCTATAAAGAATGGTCGGATCCTGGCGCATACTATAAAAAATGCACGCCGAAGAACACCCAGCGGAAAGCGGGCGCCCGTGTCCAGACGGCTGTGTGGAGAATAGCTTTTCGGCAGGAAATTCTCATTGGTGTGGACAGGGAATCATGAAAATTGCTCCGCCGGAACGTATGCGCAAAAGCACCGTAGCAGACCTTCGCGTTGCAAATTTCCTGCAACATCCAACATCCGGCTGAGAAGTGTGCGTCTTTCCTACTATGCCGGAAATGCGGTGGATACCATGCTGCGCTGAGTGACGAGATAATTACACGGTAAGACCAACTGTTGAAATTATTCAGGGACGCTTCGGTGTGTGACACTCCCAGCTGTCTGGGGCCACCTGTTGACCCATCTGAGACGGATAATTATGTGAGGTTCATTAGGGCCCACAGGGAGTCCAACAGACTGCTGCAGATCATACGAGGGCATTCGGCCGCCTGAAGATTCCTGACGGGTTTGGGACTATGCAGGGCTATGCGGAGAAGACGTCCACAGCTCTTTGAGCATAATGAAACCTCTGCTCGAGTGGAGGCGCCACGAAGAACAACCCAGCCAACAATGGAAGGCCCTGCGCCGCGAGGACCCCCAAGCGGGCCCCAGCAGCCCCCCCCAGGTTGAAGATTTTTTTTGGGGGATCAATCTGAAGGGGCCCTGGGACACAGAAATAAATATACACAAATAAAAATAATCCCCATAGTTTCCAATGTGTTCTGGGTTTTTGTCTTCCCCCCCACTTCCCACATTTTCTAATATTTTCTGGGGAATCAACGATTCATTGTGTCTGTGTGTTTTCCTGACAATCTTGGGGCGGTCTCGGAATGTCTGGGGGGGGGCATTGCTTCGGGCCTGCAAGCTGTCGAAGCCTGATCGGCGTCGATGCTCTCGCGCGGCTGCGTCGAAAACCGAAGCAAAAACTGGGCGCAGAGAGGCCATCCCGGCCCGGCGTGCCTTCTTCACAATGTAGAAGAAGCTCAGCACTGGGTCGTCTGGGCATATCTTCCCAGAGCACCACCCTATGAGCCTGGCGCGACTGAAACTCTGACGCAGCCCTTTTTCTCTGTATTCCGCTCTCTCTCTCTCTCTCTCTTTTTTCTCCATCTCTCTCTCACTCTCGCCCTGTCTCTCTCTCTCTCTCTCTCTCGGCTTGGGAATTCTCGAGTGGCATGAGACCCCAAACAGTGAGTCGTTGCACTGTAGATGTGTATCGTACGTGGTGTAATCTATGTGGTATAAACTGTATGGCCCTAAGCATGTGCAAGCCATGTGGTGTGCGCTATACGCTATGCGGTGCACGCGATGTTGTGCAAGCCATGTGGTGCAAACTACATGGTGCAAGGCATGCTGCGCAAGCCACATACATCAGGCTGCGCGGCGCAACCGGCGCCGGGAAAGCTGCACGGCGCAGACCAATGTAGTGCAGGCTGTGTGGTGATACCTAGTTGGCAAAGCCTACCCCGAGCTTCTGAACAAGCGTCGGGGGGGCGTCACCCCCGCCGACATCCCCCGTCGCGGGCAGCCACCGCGCGCCGAAGGCGCTCCGACCCTCGTCGCGGCGCGATGACGACGCGAGGTTGACCCCCGTCGGGGGGTACCCCCCACGCCTAAGAAGAAACCCAGAATACGTGCTGGCCGTCGCTCGGACGTCCACTCCCTGTAATTTTTCCCAACCCTCCTGCGTTGGGTACTCGTTTTGAATAGAGCACTGTGGTCTCCACCTTCCTCCTCCCGCCTCCTCCTCTCTTCTCTTGCTCTTACCCCTCCTCTTCTCCTCCCTTCCTCCCGCCTCCTCTCTTCGATTCTCCTCTCTCCTCTCTTGCTTCCCCTTCTCCTCTCATCTCTGTGCTACCCTTCTCCTCTCATCTCTCCTCGTCTCCTCTCTTGCTTCCCTTCTCTCCTCTCTTCGCTCCTCTTCTTCTCTCTTGCCTTTTACGTCATCTCTTTGTGGGGCTGCGATCTGTGAAACTGTCGCCACGTTCGGGGGTTGCTGGGGTGCCGAGCGGACTGACGCCCTACGGGGACTCAGATTAGACCTCGCCATCCCTGGGGGGGCTGCGATCTGCGAAACTGTCGCCACTTTCGAGGGCTGCTGGGGGGCCCAGCGGAGTGACGCCCGACGGGGACTCAGATTACACCTCGCCATCTCTGGGGGGGCTGCGATCTGTGGAACTGTCGCTACTTTCGGGGGTTGCTGGGGTGCCCAGCGGAGTGACGCCCTACGGGGACTCAGATTAGACCTCGCCATCCCTGGTGGGGCTGCGATCTGCGAAGCGGTCACCACTTTCGAGGGCTGTTGGGGGGCCCAGCGGAGTGACGCCCTACGGGGACTCAGATTAGACCTCGCCATCCCTGGGGGGGTGCGATCTGTGAAACTGTCGCCACTTTCGAGGGCTGCTGGGGGGCCCAGCGGAGTGACGTCCTACGGGGACATCTCTGGGGGGCTGCGATCTGTGAAGCTGTCGCCACTTTCGAGGGCTGCTGGGGGGCCCAGCGGAGTGACGCCCGACGGGGACTCAGATTAGACCTCGCCATCCCTGGGGGGCTGCGATCTGTGAAACTGTCGCCATTTTCGAGGGCTGCTGGGGGGCCCAGCGGAGTGACGCCCACGGGGACTCTATAGACCTCGCCATCCCTGGGGGGCCTGGCGATTGTGAAACTGTCGCCACTTGCGAGGCTGCGTGGGGGGCCCAGCGGAGTGACGCCCTACGGGGATACAGATTAGACCTCGCCATCCCTGGGGGGCTGCGATCTGTGGAAACGTCCCCGCTTTCGAAGCCTGCTGGGGGGCCAGCGGAGTGACGTCCTACGGGGACTCAGATTAGACCTCGCCAGCGCTGGGGGGCTACGATCTGTGAAACTGCCGCCACTTTCGAAGGCTGCTGTGGGGCCCATGAAACTGTCGCCACTTTCGAGACCTGCTGCGGGGTCCAGCATAGTGACGTCCTACGCGGACGCAGATTGGACCCGTCATTCTACTTCGATTATCCCGCATCTGCGGTCGACTGTATGTGCGCGAGGAACTAGACATGGAGTGGTCTGGCACTGACTGACGTCAAATCGTTGTGTGCCAGTGTCTCCTGGGGTGTTGCCTGACGTGGATGCAGCTCGTCGGCGCTGCGACTCGAGCTGGCGGTTTCCACATTTCGGGCCCGGCGGGTGGGAACATTTCTGAGACAAGCGGACGCCGCCGGCCGTAACTTGCAGGCAGCGCATTGCATCGCGGACAGCAGCATGGCAGGACCGCAGGTGACATCCTCAGTCGCTGTGGGTTTGCCAAGCCTGGTGGAGACGCGCGTGATCGATCTGAAGTCCCAATCGCGCGTGCACTGTACCTGCGTGGCGTTCAGGCACGCGCGTGATGCTGCTCGCTCCGCGTTCAACCTGTACGTCGCCAGTGCAACTTTGGACGATGGACAACCGATTGACGATACGCGACCCCGGCCTTGAGTTTCTTTCCCGCGGGCCGCCCGCGACTGCGGCGCGCTTCGGAGGTTCAGCTCCCGCGCTGAAGGGTGCGGGAAGGAGGGCGGAGAAGCTGGCGGGCGAGCTACGCCTCGCTCGTTCCTTGCACTCTAAACAAGTTTTATCATGTGGAACTCTGCGACGACATGGCGCAGGCAGTGCTGCGGGCGTAGCTCGCACCTGAAAAACGCGGCAGTCTTCTGTCTCCTCCCGCCACTTTCATCGTCGTCCTATTCACCGAGAAGCCGAAACATTGGCTAAGACAACCAAAGCGAAGCTGCTGCTTCCGCGAGGCCTTCGCCCCCGCCCTCCATTCCATCCCTCTCCTACCCCTCGTTCCCGTACCCGTTCTTCTTCGATCTTGGGGCCTCAATCCTCGTTCTTTCGATCGTCGTCCTGTGAATCGTGCAACGCATGCGCATCCCATGTAGCTTGCGCAGCAAATCGCCGCGTCTGCACTGTCGTTGTTCCTGCTAATGTTGGCCTACTCCTCTTGCCATTTGATGCACGTGGGTTGGGTACGTCGCAGGGTAAATATTTGTCCCCCGGTTTTTTCGTGCGTGGATTCCTCGCCAAATGATCAGGATGCTCCTAGAGGCCCGCGCCGACGGAAAAAAGGCACACGTCCCGAGCGGAGCCACGCGTGGTGCAGGCACGATCGCGGCGAGCGCATTCATGCAGCTGCGTGGTCGCACGCACTGCGCGGCCGCCCGCCGGGCGCCCACGAGGCGCGCCCACGAGGCGCGCCGCGAGAGGCGGGGCCACGGAGGCGCACGCCGGGCACGCCCGCCCAAACGCACCGCGGGCGCCCCCGACGAGGCGCCGCCGCCGCACAACTGCGACGCACCGGGCACCAGTGAAGGGCCCGGACGAACAAATAGATGAGACAACTCAGAATTCCCATATTTTCCCATATTTGCTGGGCTATTGTCTTCCCCCACGCTTACATCGGCGATGGGTCGGCGATGGGCCCCCGATGGCGAATCCGCACCTCCCTGGGCGGGGCGGGGCTGTCGGGTCCCTGTCGGCGATCAGTGGGCGATTGGGGGTCGATGCGCCCCCGCTATGCCCATCCCCCCTATCGTTGCCCCCGAGGGGAGGGGGGGGAGGAGGGGAGGGGGCCGGCCACGTCGCTGGCGGGTTCTGGGAATGCCATCGCGACGCGCTGGTACCCATCGTGACGCGAGCAAGGGAGGGAGGGAGGGGAGCGGGGCCAGTCACAGGTGTTCCAGTCAGACCTAAGGCAGGAGAACACCCGTCGAGAAAATGCGGCCCTCCGCTGGCCACAACAACGTGGGAGAAGGAACAGCGGCATAGACATAAACTTTTGGCGCTCCGCGTGGATTTCT